GCAGGAATGATTTGTCCACTGCACTGACCAGCATTTTGGCGAAGATTAGTAGCTCCATAGTACTGACATCTTTCTTTTCCTTTCTTTTTTTTTCCCTCCTTGAATTTTAACTAACTTTGCAATGACACTTAAGGAAAACTGAAAATGTTTTCACTTAGCTGATTTTCACAGGTTCTGTGATGCCCACACACCACATCAGCTTCAAAAACAGACTTACTTATCACCTCAGAAAAACAGTCCAGATGCACACTGCTTCCAGGTAAGCTGGACTTACACCTCCCAGGAAGAAAAAAAAACACTAAATATACATGAAAAGCAGGAGAGCCCCATAAAAGCTCTTGACTCTTCCCCCCCAAATAAAGAGGATTTTCCTTTCCAGAAAAAAAAAAGAGCAAATAAATAAAACCACGAAGTTAACACCCACGGGATGTAAGCCTCAAAGCCAAAGGAAGGGAAACCCTTTCAGAAACCCTACATGAGGGCTGGCCAGCATTCTGATCCAAACAGTGGCTTCACCTCCCATCAGGACATCTGAACTAACGCTCCAGTTTTTCAGTAGTGATCCACTTATTCCCATTATCTGTTTTTTCAGAGGGAAAATTCTGCTCCTATCAAAAAGCATATCCTTGTGCAAAACGCACTTTAAAAAAATACTTGTTCAAAGGAGGAAGGGAAGTAATAGGAAGCCAAAGGAATATCTTGTCTTCAGGTGTGACTTAACAATGCTTTTTTAATCACTGCACTTTTTATTAATGAACATTTATAAAAAGCAGGCAAAATTTGTTTGCAGGAAACCGTCCAGGAGCACACTGACATGTTAGCTCACTGGCAAGATGAAGTCTGAAACAGTTTTATAAGCCACTGGATTACAGCTTTGGATCCCAAGTACTGCTGTTCTGAGACATTCCTAGGTTTTATAACATTTCTTTCAGATTTTGGTACCTTTTTCTTGCTCTCTGTCCCACCACATCTACCCTTGAAATATACTGCCTTTAGGAAGCTCTATCATTTGACTGGTCATCTACTCTCCTGCTTCTTAGACACACTAAATGTACATTGCTCTAAACAAGAGGTTACCACTCATCCTGATTAACGGGATCCCCAGACCATCAAGATTGCTTTAGAAAAGCTTTTCCTGGCTGCATTGAAACTTGAAGGGAAAGAAAAAAAAAAAAAGGAAAAACAAAAGTTTCTGCTGACACCATGTTTTCTGCTGCACTCATCTTTATCATTTCCCAGTTTTCTGTTTGCTCATATTCTTACAGGGGTGTCGGTGGAGGATGTGCATGGTTTTAATGATGTGGGTCAGTCAGGAACAGTCACCTACTGGTTCCCAACTCCCAGAGTGAGTGCTGGATATAAAGCAAAGCGACAAGGGAAGAAGTTCCCCCAAGTCTCTCCAGTGCTATAAAATCATCCTCATCTCCTCCTCAGGCAACAGAGGCTCTCTTGCCATTGAAATCCACCAAAATATAATGGTTGAAACCTCAGCATACAAACACTCTGGAAAAAAAAAAGCATTAAAAATACAATGTGGACTTGTTCTTTTGACACAAACATGACACCCTTTAGTGTGGGCAAGTCTACTGCTCAGCCACATCTCACATGGAAGCACCTTCCCACAAACTGCTCCTGCAAACAAGCATCAGCCATGCATTTTTATTAAAAAAAAAAAAAAAGAGAGAGAGAAAGAAAAACAGCTAAAACACAACTAATGCCATCCATGAAATAAAAGATTTACTACTTAAAATATGCAGGATGACACAGAGAATAAGTGGTGCACAGGAGTAGGGGTTTCCTCCCTTTCCCACCCAAACTCAAAAACACATGCAAATAGTGTGATCTTGCACATTACTACTTCAGCAGTTTGTTTCGTTTTGAAACCTTTCTGGAGGGGAAGTAATATAAGAACAGCAATTCCTCGCAACCCACATCCCACCATTGCCACAGAGACATAAACCCAAATTCTCAAGTTGGCCAAAACCATATCTGCAACAGATAATGAGACCATAATGAGAATTTGCCTCAGCACCTCCTTGTTATTTATCCAATGAGAAACCAACATACAATCTCTAACTCTTTTTCATCATTTCAAAAAAATCCCCTTTGCTCCCCAGCGTACAACAGCTGTCCAAATTGCAGACTACAGATTCAACATGTCATAGCACATGTGCATGGAGGAAGTTTCTGCAATTGTACTAATACCCATTATTTCTCATCAAAACTACATAGGAAGAAAAAGTCATTAAAATATATATTTTTTATTTGGGAAGAGGTTGAATAATCTGTTTTTAATGACTTTAAGAGAGTCTTATCCAGGAAAAAAAAGAAAGAAAAAAACTTCTCCCACTTTCAATATCTGGCTGCTTTTCATTTTCATCAGTAAAACAAGTTTGGCCACATGGTTCAAATTCTTTAGAGATTAATCTTTCTCCTGTCGTTTTTTTAATATGACAAAGAAAGGATGTTAAATTAAACTGAAGGGATAACAAAGCCATGTATATCTATACGTATATTTGCATATACATGAAAATGCTGTAAACTCTTTGTAGCAAGATTGCGTCTCTGTATTCTTACTGGCACTTATAGTCTGAATTTGATTGAAGTTTATAGTTACACAACATTTATGTGCTAAGAAATGATAATAAGAAATCCCTAGCTATTTCTACTGTGTGGATGGGTACATTTATGAAAAAAGTAATGTGTGAAAAGATAATTTATAAGTATCTGGGAGCTGAATGCATTCTGATCAAAGGCAATGGAAACAGAGGCTGAGGTTGAAGAGTTACGTGAACTCTGCCATATTTAAACTACCAGGTCCTAGCAGACATCTAAAGTATTATGAAAAAGCACAGAAACTTAACTTTAATACTAAACATATGACCCTGCACACACTGAGACAACGTGATGCATTACCCTGGTTTGCTCTGAGATGATGCAACTTTACAGCAAAAACCAGATGCCATTACACGGTTTTGAAAATTTCAAGAAACTGAGAAAGCACTTGCAAAAAAAAAAAAAAAAAAAGAAGTTTCTTTTCTAACTTCCCCTAAACCGAACAACACATCCCTAATCATCGCCATGTCTAGCTCGCGTCAGAGGCCTATTATTGACATGCACAGTGAAAGCAAACACTTCATCCTCATGCTGGAATTTCTGCAACGGAAACATCTATTCTGACAATGCCGCGGCTCAGTTGGTATCGATGAGTTTTATTCTAAGTGCGAGGGACCAAATTACTTCAGATGGGGAGTGATTTACTCTCCCTCGGCACGGAGCTCCCCCGACCCTCGGGAGCGAACCAAGCTCGCTTCGCGCGCCTGCAGACCCTCAGCCTACGGCATTCCCGTGTTCCCTCCAAACACGGCACAGCACCAGGATGCAGGGCCGCAATCCTGGCATGCGCTGGGTGAGCTGCAGGGCAGAGCTGCTGATCTAGGTGCCAGGCAGTTCTGGTGCTATTTACATTGTAGGGAGCTCCGAATATTGAAATTATTATATATTCTCACAAATGTATTGGAGGGAGAGAAAAAAATATCCAGGACGCTTGCTGTCACAGCGTGCTATGAAAAGCAGCTACAGAAGCATCAGTCACTCGTGGAGCAGAAATTTTGCCCCTTTCTATAGGTTACACCCATTAGGGCAGTCTCATGGAGTCGAATGCTGCAATTTCACTCCAAAAGTCTTACGTAGCAGGAGCTCTGCCTTGGAAAGCGCCTGCAAAAGCCCGCTGGACACTTTATACAGTGACCTGAGCAGGAGTGACCCCAGTTATTAAGATTACTTGACGCAGCCCATTCAACGTGCTCCCTGCAGCTGCTCATTACCTGCCAATATTTTGCTGTCCAGACTGATTTATCTGTGAGGCACAACTGCCTCGGGCCAAATGCTTTTGGAAGCAGGACAACTTTTCCCAACAACAAGTTAGGGAATATTATGCTTCCAAGTCCCCTGAGAAACTCCAGCGCTGCAAGCTTTGGAGGAAAGCTGGAAATCTGGCAGCTTCCGTGGCTTCTGTCCCCGAGAGAAAGCCCTTTGTCAACGGATGCGCCGCGGCGCACGGAGCCCTCAGCACGAGGGCTCGGCGCCCCAAACTCCTCACGCCGCCCTCGGCGCGGGGGCAAGCGCAGCACGGCCAGCGCGTGCCCAGCTCAGCACGTCCCGAGCCGGGCGGATGCCTGGAGCCGAGCCAGCCGCCTTCCCGTTCGCACGAGCCCTTCCAGAAACACGGGCCCCCTCCCCTTCGCAAGGAAGAAAATCCACCTCCTACCTGCCAAGTCTCCCAGCTTAAATCCTCAACTTCTCGCCGTTTCCTTCTGCTTGCAACACTGAACAGAGCGGGGGGGAGCGGGGGGAAGGAAAAAAAAAGGAAAAAAAAAAAAAGAAAACGTGTATCAAAGCACGAGCCACAGTTATCCCACACCAAAGCTCTTCCGTACATGCTACAGCCAGGCCAGCAGCCCCAAGGAAGCAAGAAGGGGGTTCTCCCTTCGTTTTTAGGGAAGCCGGATTAGGCCCTTAGTAAAGTTAGAGTAGGGAAAACCAAGCAGAGAGTGGCTGAGGGCATCAAGGAAACGAGGGAAGGGCTGTGGTGCTTATACCTAAGCCCCCCAAAATACCTGCAATTTTGATTAGATTCAGTTGCCTCCACCAAGAGGCCAGTAAGCTGGCACAGGAACCTTTGGGGTCTCCAGGGGGAAGGAAGAAAAAGGAGGAAGGGGCAGGCAGGAAACCGACCCACGGGCACCAAGAGCACTAGGATTGACATCAGTTCTCATGGGCTTTGGATCTCACCCAAAGCAGCAGCAGCAGGGGGGGAAAAAAAAAAAAGAAGAAAAGGCTAAGAGGCATTAGTGAGAAAAGAAGACAGAGCAAAAAAATAAGTCCTAGAAATGTTATTATTGCTGCACTTAATAATAGCCGGGGGATTGCAAGAAGGTTAGGTGGTCAGATTCTGCCTTTTAGGCTGGTAAACCCTGGTTTGTCCCATCAAAAATCAATGGAGTAGCTTTAGATTTACATCAGCGTAACTAAGGACAAAATCAAATTAAAGAGTACAGAGTAACTGGAGAAAACCCAAGCAGTATTGAGCGTTCCAACACTGGGAGGCACTCAGATACTATAGTGCTGAAGGCCACGTTAGCAGATTGATTACATGATTGATCCATCAGTAGGAGCTTTATCCAATACGCGGAGGAAACGGAGAGCTTTAAGTCAAGACTACTAATCAGCTATTATTTATATGTCCTGCACACTATACATACAAAGGAGATGCTTCGTAGCATGTGCAGTAATAACAGCAACCACTTATTTCCCACTCTTGACATCAATTCTAAAATGTTTCTTCAAGGTATTAGAAGTGTTTTGCAAAGGGTTTTCTGGAGGAAATTAAAAAAAGAAAAATCCATACACTTTAATGTTCTTAGTTGCATCACTTCTTCTTCTTTGAGTCTTAGAGATTGGCACCAAACTGTAAAACAGTTAAACTCAGAGCCATTTATGCTAGAAGTCATGTGCTGTCTTCTTGGAGGAACAATTGAGACTTTCTTTACACTTCAGTGCGAGGCTCATCATGAGTTTTGTATATGACAGTGTGAAAGTAGCGGTTTCTTTTCAACAGTTTCACGCTCTCATACACAAAGACTACTTACTTTTAAAGACGTACTTCCACTAATGTGTTGTCATTCCTTATAGAACATATCGCCACTCTTCTAAAAACACAAATCACAGTAAAAATTAAAGCTGTGATCTAAGTTTCTGAAATTTTCTTTTCTTTTCATTTTCTTCTAAAACCACTGCAATTATCACACTGTACATAGGACCACTGGGATTTCAAGTGATTTGAACATTATCTGTTTTTATCTAAGAATAAAAAAATCCATTCCAAGTCCTTTTCATTTCCACATTTACTTCACAAAATTCAATCACTTCCACTGGCACTTTCACCAAAACCAGTCATATTCTGTGACATGTCTGTCACCCACACGCTTGATTATTTTTTAATAGATGGCCTATAGGCACAGAGAAGATAAGGCTGTAACTGCTAACCTAGAGAGATTATTTAATCTCAGATGATGGAGATTTAAATTTATATATGTGGAAAAAAAGGGGTTCTAGTTCCTAGTGCCTAAAACCCAACTAATAATTAGACCATATAAAGAAAAGCACATTTTTCCTGTTAAAGTCCTCCTAAAAGGAGAATACTGGTTTTCACTCAGACTCGACGATGCCATTCGTTAAATTCTTTTCCAATAGGATCTATCCAGACTTTTCAAAATGTAAGGCACCTCTAAGCAGAACGATAGGGAATCCTTCCTGCAGTCTATTAGGCTGTGGAGCAGTAAGGTGAAAGCCATGCTTTCTCATACGGAGGCAGATTTGTGCTACATATGCTTATATTTATAACAAGGTTGTGTCGGACATAACGTGACATATAAAACACCATCAAACTCAGCATTCTTCTAGTAGTTTGTATATCACTGATGTGTGAAGAGCCCCGGGGCCTATTCCAAGGTCTAATGAACACAAGTGCAAATCTTATTATCCACCAAACTATTCTTATTCTTAAATCCATTTTTTTAAAGAAAAGAAGCAACATTTTTACAGCATTTCCACAGACAATATGTCTGTTTTTATCCCCACAGTTTGCTGCTAAGAGGGGCAGAACTACCTGACTTAAAACGCTATCTTCATTTTGAGATCTGGATTTGCAAATCATTGTCGTAGAGGGAGTCGGGACTGGAGAAGGTTCTACCTGGAGCTTTATTTGAGTGTTTGTACAACTTAACTCGGAGATCAGGCTTGTAACTATATTGTAGCAAGTTTATTGCAGACTATAGACTAGGAAATAGGCAATCAGTGGATCTACCTGTGGCCATAAATTAAGCCTCAGTGTTTTGGGCATAACAGTATTTGTGAGTTATCATCTGCTGCATAGAGGAAATGGAGCAGAAAATTTGTCTTTCAGTTATCATTTCCCTTTCTTCCATCTCCCAAAACTAAACAAATTAAAGACATAAAATTTGCGAAAGGTTTACAGTAAGGCCCATGCAAAACTTTCACCACAAAATGTAAAAATCCCTTACGGTTCATTACAAATCTGAAAAACAAGGCAGTCTACTGGTGAAGAATTTTCACACAATGATTAAGGTATTGAAAAGAAAAACAGAAACTAAAGACAAGATGAAGGAAGAATTATAAATTTTAAGAAAAAAAAAATTGATTTAAGCAGAGCGGTTTCATATGCTATGGCTAAAAGCCAGGGAGTATTAATATTTTCAGAAACTGAAAACCATCTTGATGAGCAACAACTGTGTGGGAGGTATTTTACATACTCTTTCAGGCATCCCAAAGCTTCTGCTTAATAGCAACCCATCTTTGGGTGCAAGCAGGCAACTTGCCTCGACTGTTGCGAGAACTTCACAATTCCCCCGAGGAAGGCATCAACGTTGATACCCGACAGCAGTAACAACAGGGATGAAGTTTAGATTTTTCATTGTTTGCATACAGAAAAAGAGAAGATAAACAGTTTGTTCCAAACGCTGTATCACTTTTCACTTGGAAGACAACCTGCCTGCTTTCCTCCCAGCCAGCAAGGAACCAACCTCAGAGAGCCCAACATCACTGAACTCTGCTAAAGGAGGGCTAAATTCCAGTGACTCAGAATTCAAGAATAACATCTCACTTAAGTGACTCATGTGTGGGGGTGGTTTTGTAGGCAACCTCAGAAGGATATTTACACCCTTTTCTCTGGTCTCACTGCAATATCGGACTAAACATTTCTTAAATCAAATATGGTAGAACCACCAACAGTCCGTTTGCGCTCCGGGTGAGCTTGGCAAATGAATTCAAATGAGAACAAAAACTAGCCTCAGACTGCCAGATTTTAATATCCTCATATTTTCCAACGATGGTGTAACTGTAATTAAAGACTCAACAATAAAATACATAACCAAATAAACATTAAAGTCCCCTGGGATCCTTTGGGGATACACCGCACTATATAAATGTGACTTATTATTATTAAATAACAAGCATTGGCCATTTAAATTATACAATAGCTACCTGATTATACTTAAGCAAGTTAAAGCTCTCATAAAAATGATTATATATATATTCTAAATTAAAGATATTTTTACTGCAGCTCAAGGAACCTAAACTTCTTTGAATTAAGTGTGTAAGAGCTCTACAAAACCTGGGGCTTGTTCCTGCAATACTGAGTCAGTAGAAGCTCTGCCATTTTAAGACATGTTGCAAAGAGTTAAACAAATTAACAATTCTACCCTTATCAAAATGGAAAAATTGAGATTTTTTTTCAATATCATTTGGAATTTTACTTACTGCTATCTCTAGTATTAATTCTGAACCATCTAAAAAAATAATTTTGACTATAGCACATGTTGTGTATGTACTAAGAAATTCTTTCCATGTAATATAGTTTAATCTGAGGTCAAATTAAACCAGTTAATTTAGTGCTGGTTCAGTCAGCCAAGGACATCATGAACCAAGGGAGAAAACTTAGCCTTCTTCTCAGTGGTTAGAAATAATCCTGAGCTAGCCCTCTTCTTTGATACATGCCCTGAGACATAGCTTCCTATATAGCTGCCCCAAGTCTTTGTCATGAAAAAGTCTCTGTATTTTAGGCTGCAGTCAATTCTGAAAACATCATTGCCACTCATAGGTCAGAACCTCAAAATCGCAAGATTATCCATAAGGCATAATGACATTTCATACAAGAATGTGATTATTTAGATGTAATTATTTACTTAGTTTCAGAAAATTATAAATCATGTCTTTGAGCTTTTAATTCATAGGGGTAAAGAAAGAATTTAGCTGAAAGTCCATCCTAGGAATCCATAACCCCATGAGATAAGGGCAGAGGAAAACTTCCTTTTGCTCTGTCCCAACAAACAATATGAGCCATCTCTGCTTCTCAAACTCTGTTGCACAAGCTTAAATAGCACTTGGATCACCATGTGGTGGCTTGGGAGAGGTCTCAAATCTAGTCAAAACCTTTAAGTCGAATGTCAGTTTTTTGTCTGGCCTTCGCCATGTCATTTCCCTTGCTTAAGGCTTCTCATCTGTGGAACAGGGTAAAGGCTTTAACCTCATTATTAATGAAGAGCATTGTACCTAAGTTCCATATTACCATTATATTCCTATGATAACATATTATCAGGTCTTACGGACTTTTTAGAATCAATAGAAAACTCATTCTAGAATCAATGACCTGGAGCAAGTGAGATCTAACCCAACCCTGTATTCAGGCATCCAGGTAAGAACACTGTCACCAAAGGATTGCTCTTATGGAGGTGGACAGACCACCCAA